TTGTCCAATCAAAATGGAGTGATTTTGTTGAGTGTATTCATAAGTATTAAGATACAGTGAACAGAATCAAGGGGGGTGACTGTTACCTAAAAAGGCATCACACAGCGTCACAACTCCAAAGAGGGGTGTCTACCCACCTAATATATATCCCCCTGGATCTACTCTTGAAATAGTGGACTCCAAAAACGCATAAAAATCGATATGGGATACTTTATATTTTAGTTGATTGTCGAGACCTTGCTCTTGGCATGCAGAACAGTGTCATAGCAGCTGACAAGATAACAGCATCTTCAGGGACAGCAGGTGACCAGGCCAGACTAAACTACACTAATGGACCATCGTGGTGTGCTATTGGARATGATGATAACCCTTATCTACAGATTGACTTAGGGACCCCCCACATCATTTGTGCTGTGTCAACACAGGGTGACCATTTGGCGAAACAATGGGTCAAGACTTTTCAGCTTAATTGTTCTGATGATGGGAAGACTTATCATCCATACAGGGAGAATGGCAACACACAACAGGTCAGAGGGCGCAATAAAATCTTTTGAATTTTTGTCAAATTCCTTGAGCGCTTTTGAGTGACCTTTCTTACGCGGCAGCCGTATTTACTGGATCAGTAGGTTTACTCCGCGTGACCTCGATTTCAGGCGTTTCGGAGCGAGGTATTTCCATGGGGTTAAACAAAGGGTATTCTCCGTCATGGGAATATACATGGCGTCGTTTGTTGAAGCCTGCGACTCAGGCTTGCTTCTCGCGTTTTCTTGTGATTCGACTTCCGTACATTAAAATCCCAACGGTCTGAATTAGTTTTAAATTCTTGATTATCGGAAGGCAAAACTCCTGATCTCTCAAAGAAATTTGAAAAGCGTATTCCTATTCATTGTTGACACATTTCTAGACATATTATGGTAACATGGATGGTGTTGGGATCGTCAAGCAAATTTTGTATCAAGGAATGATTGCCAGATATCTACGTATCCTACCCATAATGCCCCACGGAGCTGTTTGTATGAGAGCTGAGATATATGGAGTACAAATACGGTCAGGTAAGATAACAATACCTTATGATTATCTTGAGAGATATCGATGGAGCAGACATCTTTACCTAGAGAGAATGCTTTCCCATTTCGGACCACGTGTCATTCTATGAAATTATTTGTTTGAGTTGTATTCATATTCATGTGTCTTTTCATGCGCAACCCGGCCTTGAACATAAACCGTTATAGAAATAAGGCCTTTTTCAACAACAGGTGACGTGACCCTACCCAAGCTTTTCCATCCAGCACAATTTTTGTATTTTATGTCATTTCTCTTGTGTTACATGTTGTAAGCTAAAACTTTGCCTTCTCACTAATTTTGAGGTCCTCTTTACATTTCCGATGTTCATTTTGACAATTTTTCTTTTTTCTTTTCAAGAAGGGTAGGGTCACGTGACCTGTTGTTGCAAAAGGCCTATTATACTATGAGGAGTGGCTGGTGGTCAGAAATGAAAAGAAGTTATGCCCTAAAGCTAAGAAGTTATGTTGTGACTGCAATATTGTGATTGTAATAGTACTAATGTTGGTGAATAGGCTCTTTGCAACAAACTGTCACGTGCTGATATATGACTTTGATAACGAATCGATTCAGATCAAGGTCCTTTGGAAAAGATCTGTTGTATAGCAAATGAACTTCTTGAAACTGCTTCGTATCTTGAAATCGAAAATATCTTATAAGAGGAAAAAAGATTTTTGAAAAGATTTTTGATTCGACATTAGTTATCCAGCATAAAATCTTTAAATAAAGAAAGTCCAAATCTTTTTACCATCCAGTAACAATTATATGTCCGTCTATAGCAAAAGGCCTTTTTATATATTATCTACAATTTCTATTTTTCTCAGGCTCTAAAGTAAACTACGCCTACAATAAAGCAGCAACACAGTCAAGTACTGGATGGGGTGGACTGCCTGATCGTGCAGTTGATGGGGATCGTAATGCAATCTATTATTTTGGAAGCTGCACCCACACCCAGGATGAGAACGGAGCCTGGTGGATGGTTGATCTTGGTCAGAGTGTACCTGTGTATGAGGTGTTTATTGTTAATAGGGATACTAACTCCAATAGACTGCACGACTTTCTAATTCTTATTGGTAAATAATTCCGTTTAATATTAAATTTAAACAATAAGGCATCACAGCAGAATGACTAGGTGAATACTTAACGTTGCAAGGAAGCATTTTCTTTTTGAAACAAGACCTGCAATTTTGTTGCATGGCGTCGTGATGTTGTCAGCCAAATAGCCCACCTCCGAGATATGCTTCGATTGTCACGCACACTGAAAGGTTTCAGTATAAGGCTACGCTAAATTAAATTAATTCTTACCGACTGTCACGAATGACTGAGCATTTAGCACGTAGCCTCATACTGAAACCTTTTTGCGTGACAATCGAAACATATCTCGGAAGTAGGCTATTAAGGYGACATTCACACTTAGAGCTGATCGATGCGGGTGGCTATTTACAAATTCATAGTTTTTTTGTAAAAATTGGTACTCTCCACATTAGACGTGGAGTTCGGAAAGCGAACGCGGGTCGCCTTGGTTAAAGGCGTGCGCTATCACCGCTACGCCCATGTGCTTCCTTAGGACAATAGAGAAGGACGAGGACAGGAGCTGCGTTAATGTCATTAGATAAAACAATTAATAACACTAATATCTTTCATTACTAGGTGGGAATTCAAGCAATGGTGGTAAATCAAATCCCGTTTGTAACAATGTGAAGGGCCCACTGCCCTCTGGGATTGGAACGTCTATCTACTGCCATCAAAGCATGATGTGACGGTTCTTGACGATCACGTTTGACAATCATGGGGAATTCCTCACATTATGTGAAGTTGAAGTTTACAGTGAAGGTAACTGACTGCAAAATAGATTTGTTCCGGATGAGTCGCAATAAACGATTTCTGAGATGTGCGAGCACTTTTATAAATATTGCAGGCGCATACAAACGAGGTATTTTCGGGCAGTGTTCATAGGAAATCATAGAGCTATAGGCGATTCTACGACTCTTTAAAATTCAAGGTTTTGTCTGAAGTGAGCTATATCGTTTTAAACAATTACATTCTGTTCTGAAGTAAAATAAACCTTAAAGTATTCCTTCATTAACATAATCTTAAAGTTTTTTGTATGTGTTTTCTATAGTGCGCGTAAGATGTTGCCCGAAAATGCCTCGTTTTCGAATCAGAGGACCATTAATGCGAGATACGTTTTTTGACAGCGCACGCGCATCTCGGAAAAAGTCTATTCTCACGACAAGGTCACGTTACGAAATTATGTGACGATACTCATTGAATCAATCAAATTGTGTCATTTCACTGCTTATTCGAAGTGAAGACAATGCGGCGTCGTCATGTTAGCGGCACGGCACTTAAACGAGTGTTTTTTACAGTTATAAGAAATTTGTTCTAACAAATTCAAAATAAAGTTAAAAAAAAGTTTCTCCGACTTTGCTTTGATCATTGATTTCACATTGCTTTATGTTAGACTCCGTTAGCTGCACACCACAAACCGTTCTTGCAGTGGTTTCTAGCGATCAACATCTTTTTTCTTCAATTAATAGTAACTATAATAATAATAATAATAATAATAATAATAATAATAATAATAAGGACATAGACCGACGCACAAGAGAGATAGTCAGAAAAGAAAGAGGAATGCACCATCACGAATCCATCAAAGTACTCTACCTACCAGAAGAACTAGGAGGAAGCGGTATGAAAAGCGTTGAGGACACTTTCAAATTAACAACAATCAAAATGGCAAACTATATCAACAACAGCAAAGACAAGAGGATCAAGCATGCAAGAACGCTTGAAATGAATAGAATCGCGCAAGGTAGAAG